AGCTTCCCCACAAACATTTAAAAAGATAAGTATAATTCCTCCACGTTAAAGGAAGAAAAATGGGCTTTTTCCTTAAAAAAAAGGAAAATCGACCAATTCGTTTTACGAAATCTGAGCAGTGATGTCATACTATATTAAAACGTCTGGTGACTTTAGCTCCAGCATTGCCATTTGTGTTTACGCTGAGAGTAATGAACAGCTGGAATGGGTTACCGGGAAGGGTTGACCTGTTTAAAGAACAGCTTGGTGTTGTTATGGGAAAAGTGTCGGGTTGGTTTGCTGGAATGACAAAGTAAAATACCAAGGAAATCTATTTTTGAAAAGAAAAACACTGAATTTTTTTCTCCTTTGAAGAGCTATTACCAAACTCGGAATATCTATGGTAGAGTCCCCGTAGCAAAATGGTTAAGAGCACTCGCCTCGCAAGCGAGAGGACCTGGGTTCGAATCCCGGGCGGAACGAAACCTTAGGCAAGTTTCCTTACTCCACGCGCCTCTTTTTACCAAGCATTATTAGTCACATGTTATGGGTGGGTGAGAGGGGGAAGAGCAATGACTAACCAGAAAGAAATGACTGAAAAAAAAGTACTATTTGCTGACGATTAGCAGCAGCTGTGAATCGGATGGCCCATGAAGAGTTGACACAGCTGAGCAGCTCTCTGCAAGGCTTTTTTTTCTCTGAAACAACCTGAGCAGATTCGGGGAGAGCGCTGCTATTGACCCCAAGCTGTCCTGAGAGACTGATGGCAGCGGGGAAGGTACAACAGAGCTGCTGCTTTCCTCGTCCCTCAAACGGCGAAAGAGAAGCCATGAACTGTTCCGTCGCAACCTGATTACCGGCCTCCCCGAGCTTGTGATTTTTGCGCGAATTCTGATCAGATTCCAAGGGGGTGGGGTGACGTCTCTGTGTACAAATCACCAGCCGCGCTCGCCTACTAAATACACAGGTCACCGCAGTTTTACAGCAGAATCCCGCAGAGGGCTTTGAGACGTCCTCACTGCACAGAAGGTCCCGTAAATAATAATACAAAGATAATAATCCTTGCATTTTTGACACAGCGTTTTTCACGTCTTCCAGACGTCTCGCAGAATATACTGTGAAGTGAATCGACTGCATCCTTGTGGGCGAAACGCGGCAGCCAATTGCGCACAGCAGCGTCCCGCAAACAGTCGTGGATTGAAGTGACCGATTTATTATTGTTTTTTTTCTTGAGGGATTATTATCAGGCGCACGGAGTAAGGGAACTTGCCCGAGGTTTTGCCCTGCCGGGAATCGAACCCGGCTCTCGCATGCCAGGCAAGCACTCTGACCATTGAGTTACGGGACTGCACAATATCAACTGTGCTTATTCTTATTGGTGTCGGTGTCATGCTTTGCCACTGTCAAGCGCTCTGGGACGTTACCCTGTGTGAGAGGCGCTAAATAAATGCAAGTTGTTGTCGTTGACGGTGCAGTCGGGAGAGGGTAGACGTGCACATTGACAGTCCTCCACTGGCAAAGCAAGCTGAAACAGCTGGTTAATTGTTGTGTTGCGGCTCAATAAATTCACTGCAGCCACAGGTCATGTCATGTGGAGTTTTGTAGCTTAGTGATTAGAGCACTCGCCTCGCAAGCGAGAGGACTGGGTTCGATTCCCGGGCGGGGCGAAATGTTGGGCAAGTTTCCTTACTCCACACACACGCCTCTGTTTACCAAGCGGTAAGTAGGAACCCGGTTGTTAGTCGATTGGTGGATCGTTTTTCCGGGGGTTAATAATTCCTTTTTTTTAAAAAAAAGAACCCAATAAAAATAAAGAGTAATTTGTTCACTCAATTCACGGCTGTTTGTGGCACGCTGCCGTGCGTTATTGGCTGCCGCGTTTCGCCCACAAAATATACTGTCAAGTCACTTTTGCTTTATTTTTATTTATTTTTATTGTTTTTATTCCTTTTTATTCTGTGAAGCGCTTTGAGACGTCTCGAAGATTTGATACGGCGCTACATCAAACGCAAGGATTATTATTAATATTTAGGTGTGACTCTCGTGAGACAACGTACTTAACTTGCTGGCTCTGGAAATTCTGCTGCCTCTCTCAGTTTCCTCAAGGTCAGTTTATGAATTATGTATTCAGAGCATTGTTCGACCAAAAATCAGGCTGTGTTTTCATTAGCAGGGAAGGTCAGTGCATATGCCGTGCACAGATTGGAACATTGAAACGTTACAGCCCAATTTGATTTAGCCGAGAGCATCAATGTCCTGCCAAGTCCTTCGCAGGTAAAGTGTGGTTCCTGTGCATGTGTCCTGGCCAACAATAAATTCCCCCACCTCCCAGAATAAAATTGGTCGCTCGCTTCACGGCTGTTTGTGGGACATTGCTGCTCGCAAGCTGTCCGCCGTGTTTTGCCCACGGAATATACAGTCGATGCACCTTGCAGTGTATCCTGTGAGGCGCTTTGAGGCGTCTCAACGACGTGATAAGGCGCTGTATCAAACGCGAGGATTATTATTATTATTATAATTTGCAGACAGCCGCAGCAGTCTTTTTTTTTCACTCCACAGCAAAGTTCCCGCAAACAGCCATGAAGTGGAGGAGCAATTTCACCTGGACGAGTGTTGGCCTGGACATTGGGAGGTACTCCTTCGAATGGCGTTAACGGGATCATTAAAGTCCCACCAGAGCAGGCAGGCCGAAAGGACTTTGGTTCAACACGTGTCAGCCTGGCTCAGCTCGCCTCTGGATCAAAAGGTCGTGGGTACAAGCCACACGCCGATATTCTGAACTCACCTAGTCTAGGCTGGCACTCCGGTGCAGTGCTGGGGGAGTGTTACATTGGGGGAGGTGCCGTCCTTCGGTCAAGATGTTAAACCGAGGTTCTGTCTACCTGTTCAGGTGGACGTTAAACATCCCATGGCACTGATTGAAAACAAAAAAAGGAGTTTCTCCCATTGTCCTGGTCAAGAATCCTCCAAATAAAATTGGTCATAGCTGCTTAGGAGACATTGCCGTGTGCAAATTGGCTGCTGCGTTCACCTACAAAATACACAGTCACCACACTTTAGATTGAATCTTGCGAGGCACTTTGAGATGTCCTCTAATAATAAGAATTACTCCTTGCATTTGATGCAGCGCCTTATCACGTCTTCGAGACGTCTCAAAGCACTTCACAGAATATACTGTAACGTGAATTGACTGTATATTTTGTGGGCGAAATGTGGCAAAAAGAAGACAAAGACGGAGAGAGAGGGTGGCAAACAAAAAGCACAGTTTTGAAAATTAAATGCAGATTAAGGAGGCGGCATTAAAAGGAAGAACCAAACCAGGCTATAAACCATTAAACACTCGATCCCCTCCTCGCCCCAGTTAAAAAGTGGTTAGAGCACTCGCCTCGCAAGCGAGATGACCTGGGTGTGTTTCCCGAGCAGGGCGAAATCTTGTTCCTAGTCGATTGGCAGATTGCTTCTGGGGGTAACAATCCCTTCAAAATAAATAAATCAATCATAATTTGGTCACTGAATTCACAGCGGTTTGTGGGACGCTGCTGTGCACAATTGGCTGCTAATTTTCGCCCACAAAATATACAGTCAATTCACTTTACAGTATATTCGTTAAGCGCTTTGAGACGTCTCGAAGACGTGATAAGGTGATAAGGTGCTTTCTCAAATGCAAGGATGATTATTACAGCGCAATAGAATGGAAATGCCAAGCCATCAGGATGAAAAGTTGGGAAAAGTTTTTTCTCTCTGCTTAAACAGTTTAAATCATGGGAAGGGTTAAAACATAAATATATATATTGTAATATACACTGTATTTTTTGGAGAATATAGAGATCTTGGAAGAGGGAAAAATCATGAGTTCTAATAATAATAATAATAATCCTTGCACTTAATATAGCGCCTTATCACGTCTTCGAGACGTCTCAAAGCGCTTCACAGAATATACTGTAAAGTGAATTGACTGTATATTTTGTGTGCAGCCAATTGTGCACAGCAGCGTCCCACAAACAGTCGTGGATTGAGTCCTTGGGAGCAGTTGAAAAGCCAAGGAAGTTCGCCAGACAAAAAAAAAGGGAGGGAGAGAGATTTTAAGGTAAAAGCAGATGAAAGGCTTCAACGTATGGAGGAGTACAATTAATGTAAAAGATGGGTGGCAGGGAGGGAGGGGGAGAAGGAATAAAGGGAGCGTTTTTGCATTTGAGGGAAGGCAGCAAAGAAAGAGATGGAGAGAAGAAAGAGGGAGAGAGAAAGGGAGAGAAAGAAAGAGCGTAAAGAAGAGAGAAAGAAAGAAAGAGGGAGGGAGGGAGGGAGGGAAAAAAGGGAAAGAGAGAGAGAGGGAGGGAGAAGTCATTTCTCTTTAGGAAGGGAAGAAGTCAAGATCGCTCCCCTCCCACCTTCTGGAAATCTGGGAAGTTTTTTTTAAAAAAAGGTTTAAATCAATCTTGCCTCCTTCCCTCTCCACCCCCCTCCCTCCCTCCCTCCCTCTTTCTCTCTCTGCTCCGACTCCTTCCCTCCCTCCCTGCTCTGCTGTGGGTGTGTGACACAGAGCAGCCAGCAGCGTACGAAACTGACCAGAAATGGTCAAGATGTTCGCAAACGAACCAATCGACCTCCTTGGCTTCTAAGGGCGGACGAGATTAACTGCGTCTTGAACCTGAGAAGGGGGCAGAAAAAACAGGAGAGGAGACAGAGAGAGAGAGAGGAGAAAGAGAAGAGAGGAGACCGAGAAGAGAGAGAAGAAGGAGAGAGAGAAGGAGAAAGAGATAGGGAGAAAGAGAAGAGAGAGGAGGTAGAGAGAGGAGAAAGACAGAGAGGAGAAAGAGAAGAGATAGAGAGAAGAGAAAGCAAGAGACGGAGGGGGAGGAGAAAGAGAAGAGACAGAGAGAGGAGAAAGATAAGATAGAGAAGGAGAAAGAGAAGGGATAGAGAAGGAGGAAGAGAGAGAGGGGAGAAAGAGAAGGAGAAAGAAACAGGGAAAGAGAGAGAGAAAGAAGGAGAAAGATAGAAGGCGAAAGAGAGACAGAGAGGGAGAAGGGGAGAGAGAGAAAGGAAAGAGAGAGAATACTTTAAAAAAAACGTGTTTCTGAGACCAGGAAAAGTAACGTCTGGAAAGAATTAGTGGGTTTGAGGGATAGACAAGAGACAAGAGACGGGGAGAGCGCGCGAGAGAGATGTGATCAGCGCTCAGACAAGAGAAAGGAAGAAAACCCCGGGCAAAACAACTCCAGAGAACAGCAATAAAATAAGAGCGAGAAAGAAGGAGGAAAAAATCACAGCAAACAACAACAAGATGAGGACACAGGAGCATCGCTTTGGAAAAGTTCACTGACTTCCCGGATCACTGCTTTTTTTTGCGGGGGGGGGGGTTGGTGTCTGTGCTGTTTGGAGGTGAGACATGGGGTGGGGTGGTGGTGGGGGGTGGGGGGGGAGAAGAGAGAGATTATGTGTGTGAGTGTGTGTTTTTCTTTGGGAGAGTGCGCCAACAAGTTCGGTGTTTTTTTCCGACAACGATAATAATAATCATAACGCTAACAATAATAATAATTCTTACGTTTGCAATAGCGCACTAACGAACCTTCCGGACGTCTCAGAGCGCTTCACAGGACACGCCGCACGGGGGGGGGGGTCGTTTGTTTTGCGGGCGAAACGCCAATCGCGCACGGCGGCGTGCCACAAACGGCCGCGGATTGTGTGAGCAAATTGTTATTGTTTTTTTTAAAAAAGAAGGGGTAATTAACCTTCCCCCCACCCCCGCCACCCCGGAAAAGCATTCCGCCGATCGACTAACAACCGGGTTCCTGCTTACTGCTAGGTAAACAGAGGCGTACGTGTGGATTAAAAAAACTCGCCCAATGTTTCGCGCTGCCCGCCTGGGAATCGAACCCCAGGTCCTCCCGCTTGCGAAGCAGCGAGTGCTCTAACCACTGAGCTACAGGACCCCACAAAAAACTTTTGCGGTGGGGTATGGGGCCGGGGTGGTGTTTAAATCCCTTTTCATTTTGGTGGAAAGCAATTGCAATATCCCCCCCCCAAAACCTACTGGTCTTTTACAGTGAGGGCGAGATCCGATCCACTCAGTCTCGGTGTGAGGATTACAGAATCTAATTACAATTGGAAATTGATGAGGAGATTATTCATTTCATCTCACGTCAGCGCCGACTCCGCTTCATCCTCTCTGTTCGTCGCGGTTTTTCCCCTTCCTGTGTGTGTGTCTGTGTCTTTTGGGGGGGTGGACGGGGTTTTCTGAGCAGGGAGTCAACCCACTCAGCTCATGTTAGCCCCGCAAGCCAAAGCCCTGATGGGTAGAGCAGTCCGTGCTGGACAAACAGCGGGAAAGCTTGCCAGGCTGGCATATCAATGGCAAGCTATGCTGTTTTAGCTGGTTAGACTCCAGCAGTTACCCCAATGCACCATCTGGGGGTCCCCAAGCCTTGACTCTTACCAACCTGTGCCTAATACCCTCTGGAATTAGGTGAGCAGGATGCATCCGTCCAGGGAGAGAGAGAGATAGCATTCCATTCCAATAATCTATCTCTGGGATTTCCATGTGTAGGTGGGATGCAGGGAAATCTCAGTTTGGTTTGGATACTGTTAAGCACGGTGATGGGTTTCCGCATGTATCAGACACCCGGCTGACCAATAAATTGGTTATTCACCTCATTGTTATTTGCAGGACACGACTGTATGCAAATTGGCTGCTGCATTTGCCCACGAATACACAATCCCTATACTGTACAGTACATCCTGTAAAGTGCTCTGATGATGTATCAATGTCAAATAATAATAATAATCCTTGGATTTGATACAGCGTCTTATCACGTCTTCAAGAACGTCTCAAAGCGCTTCACAGAATATTGTGTAAAGCGAATTGACTGTATATTTTGTGGGCGAAATGCGGCAGCCAATTGCACATAGCCAAGTTTTTAAAAAAAAATGTTTTTGAAGGGCTTACTATCCCTGGAAAAGCGATCCGCCAATCGACTAAGTACTAGGTTCCTATTTACCGCTAGTTAAACAGAGGCGTGTGTGGAGTAAGGAAACTTGCCTGACGTTTTGCCCCGATCTGGAATCGAACCCGGGGCCTCTTGCTCGCGCTACATTAACGAAAGGACTATGTGCATTGAAAAGCTGTTGTTTCTCACAGGAGGATGCCAGCCGCCGCTAAGGAAAGCCTGGAGGACTCAGCCCTGCTGGGGGACATCCCCAGCCTCAGCGTAGAGAGTTACCTTCCTCTCTGTGTGGCTCACGTGCCCAGGGAGTCCATCCGCAACTTTCACCACACCAAGCGGGTTGGCAACTATCTGATCGGGAGGAAGCTGGGAGAGGGATCCTTTGCCAAAGTGAGAGAAGGGCTCCACATCCTGACTGGCGAAAAGGTAACTTAGGGTGATTTCGCAACTTGGGGGAGTTTATTTTGCGTCGCCCCTGCTCCCCCCCACCCCACCCCCGTTGAGCCCTGGCTTCTTGCCAGGAAGACATGTTTATATAATAATAATGATCCTTGTATTTGATACAGCGCCTTATCACGTCTTCGAGACGTCTCAAAGCGCTTCACAGAATATGCTGTCAAGTGAATTGACTGTATATTTTGTGGGCGAAACGCAGCAGCCATTTGCGCACAGCAGCGTTCCACACAAATCGTCGTGGGTTGGATGACCGAATTTTTTTGTAAGTGATTATTATCCTTGGAAAGCGATCTGCCAATCGACCGACTAACAACCTCGTTCCTACCTACTGCCTCTGTAAACAGAGGCGTGTGGAGTAAGGAAACTTGCGACACTACCTCACCCCTCACGCTGCTGAAACACTGGTCCACGCCGTTATCACCTCAAGGCTGGACTATGGGAACTTTCTCCTCGCCGGCCTTCCCGGCACCTCCCTCCACAAGCTGCAGGTCATTCAGAACTCTGCAGCTCGTGTACTGTCCCGCACCAGGCTTCGCGACCACATCACTCCCACCCTCGCTCGCCTCCACTGGCTCCCCATCCCTCAGAGGATCGAATTCAAGATCCTCATCCTCACCTACAAGGCCATTCACGGCCTCGCTCCCTCCTACCTCTCCAACCTACTATTCCCCTACTTACCTGCCCGTACCCTCCATTCCTCTGGCTCCGGTCTGCTCCACATCCCCCGCCCAAACTGCCCTACCATCGGTGGCCGGGCTTTCAGCCTCTCAGCCCCTCGGCTCTGGAACTCCATCCCCCAGTGCCTTCGCCGCCTCCTCCCTTTCCTCCTTCAAGGCCGGTCTCAAGAGCTTTCTCTTCAACCGTGCTTGCAGCTCCCCTCTCGACTCTCTACCCCCTCCTCGCTCCCCCCCTTCCCTCCCCTCACCCTGACCATTTCCCCCCTGCCTGGGTCCCGACCCAACTGTCCAGCGCCTTGGGACGTCCTCCCGACGTGAAAGTCGCTCTATAAATGCAATCATCTACTCTAGGGGGACTCCCAATACTGTAGAGAGATGCCCTCCGTTTCATTCTATCCATAAAGTAAATGTTTTAAAAAAAAAGTCGCAATAGCTCAAACCAAAAAAATGGCAATGAAAGGGTGATTGTTGCTGCATTACTGAGGAATTTGCAGATAGCATCAGCCTTTGAAACCGTCTGCTGCTAACATTCAGCTCAGAGCTGTCGTGTGCAATAGGTTTGAGTGTATCCTGCGGCACAGTCTTTGCAGTGCTCGATCCCCTCCCCAATTAATTGTGTTGCAGTTTTCATGTTGTGAATGAACTAAAAGTGGAGTTCCGTAGCATTGTGGTTAGAGCACTCGCCTCACAAGCGAGAGGACCTGGGTTTGATTCCTGGGCGTAAGGAGGAAGTTTCCTTACTCCACACGTCTCTGTTTAACTAGCAGCGAGTTGGAACCCGGTTGTTAGTGGATTGTTTTCCAGGAGTAATAATCTCTTTTTAAAAAAAAAATGATGTGGTCATTCAATCCACGACTGTTTGTGGGACACTGCTGTGCGCAAATGGCTGCCTCGTTTCGCCCCACAATGTGCAATCAATTCACAGTATATTCTGCGAAGCGCTTTGAGACATCTCAACGACGTGATGAGGCGCCATATCAAATGCAAGGATTATTATAAATAAAACTGGCCTGACATCGCCACTTGTGTCTTTTGCATTTTCCATTACACTCCTGCTTACAAAGTCTGGCTCAGTTGCTAGCGCTCTCGCCTCTGAGACAGAAGGTTGTGGGTCCAAGCTCCCACATCGACGCTCGGAGCTAAATATAGTCTACGCTAACAATGCAGAGCTTCTGATTGTTCATGATTAATATTATTGCAAATGAGGTGACATTTGCTTTGAGATTCTCTTGCTGAATGACAGAGGGGGTCAAATTTGCAGTGTTCGTTAATACTACAAACATACATTAAAATACCAGTATCCCTCCCACCGCCGGCTTTTGAATAACGATAATAATAATTCTAATATTTGGTTGAGTGCCTTTCACATCAGATCGTCTCAAAGCGCTTACAGGATATACTCCTGCAAAGTAAAGTGGAGTGACTAGGCACTTTTGTAGGCAAACGCAGTGGCCAACTTGTGCACATCAAATGTCCCACAAATGGCCTTGAGATCAATGACCGGTTTTATTTAGGGGTGGGGGATTGTTGGCTAGGACATTGGGAGAGAGAAACTCCCTTCGCTTTTCAACCAGTTCCTTGGGATCTTTAACGACAACCAGAAAGGATATCAGTTTAACTTCTCACATCCCGGCATCTCCCAACAAGGCAGCAACAACAGCCCCCCACCCGCCCCAGCACAGCAATGGAACGCCAGTCTAGATTGTGAGTTCAAAGTGCTGACGACAGACTTGAACCCACACACGTTCGACTCAGAGGCCAGAGTGCTATCAACTTAGTCAGGCTGACAACAACAATAACAACTTGCATTTACCCAGCGCCCCCTCATGCAGGGTAGCAGCTCAGAGCGCTTGAGGGTGGCGGAGAGTGACGCCGGGGCCGAGGGGAGGTGGCTGTAGGCACGGGTGAAGAGGAAGGTCTTCCTTGACACGCAATGCCCAAACCCGGCTGAAAAGCTCGAGGCACTGTCTTATCACCTTGGATTGCAGCTTAGTTGAGGTCATTCTCGAGCTCCGTAGAATGGCATCTCTCAGCTTGTTTGGTGCAGACTCAGCTGCTGCAATCAGCGTCGTGACTTTATCCCATGAATAATCCTGGGGTGATGGGGTTCCTCCCTCCCTCTACGGGGAAAAAGAGCCACGGCCAGATCGTGTCTGGAGTACTGCGTTCAGTTATTGGCACCGTACACCTCAGGAAAGCTATATTGGCTCTGGAGGGAGATGCAGAGCAGGTTCCTCAACATGATACCAGGGCATAAAGGGTTAAATTACGAGAACAGGGTTGCGTAAACTTGGTCTGTATTCCCTTGAGTTTAGAAGGTTGAGGGGTGATCTGATTGAGGTGTTTAAAACGATAAAGTGGGGCTACAGAGAAACTATTGCCTCTGGTGGGGGAATCCAGAAAAAAGAGAGGCATCATCTCAAAATTAGAGCCAGACCATTTAGGAGGGAAATCAAGAGGAGTTTTTCACCCAAACGGTAGCAGAAATCTCGCCCCAAAAAGGCTGTGGATACTGGATCCATTCAAGACTGAGGTTTGTTAGATCAGGGTATTAAGGGATATGGGGCAAAGGCGGGTAAATGGAGTTGAGGTACAGATCAGCCGTGATCTAATAGAATGGTGGAACAGGCTCACAGGGCTGAATGGCCTCGTCCTGTTCCTATGTTCCTCTCAAACGGTAAGGGAGTGGCAGCCAAATCTTCCACACTGCTTGGGACATGCGTGGTTTTCAACTAAAAGAGGATTTTTCTGTGTATTCTTAGCTCGAGTCTAGACTGACACGTGTTGTAATAACAGTGTCCAGTTTGAAATATGTGTACAGCCCCCAGTCTAAACACTCTCTCGAGCAGGGAAGGTTGGCACTCATCTAACCTCACTTCGCAAGGAGAGAGTCTCACTGGGGTCTTTGTTAGATGACTGTTGGTGGTGGTGGTGGTGGAGGGTTCCTGTACCATACGAACAAGCCTGCAGCATACAAAATTTCCTGTGGTCTTATCCTTAGGACCGTTGTCCTAATGTTTAAGACCATTTTGGAAATCAGTCCATGTTTGGGAAGTGTGGATATGCACGAGTATAAGGGAAAAGGCATTGCAAGAAGTGGGGTTTAAAAGATACAAAAGGACCATAGGAACAGGAGGAGACCATTCAGACCCTCGAGCCTGTTCCACCATTCTATTCGATCATGGCTGATCTGTACCTCAATGCCAGTTACCCCCCCCCCCGCCTTTCACCCATATCCCTTGATAATGATAATAATCCTTTCATTTGATACAGCGCCTTATCACGTCTTCGAGACGTCTCAAAGCGCTTCCCAGAATATACTGTAAAGTGAACTGACTGTGTATTTTGTAGGCGAAACGTGGCAGCCAATTGCGCACAGCAGCGTCCCACAAACAGCCGTGGATTGAGTGACCACATTATTATTTTTTTTAATTATTTTTGAAGGGATTATTACCCCCGGAAAGTGATCCGCCATTTAACTAAGAACCGGTTTCCTACTTACTGCTGGGCAAACGGAGGCGTGTGGAGTAAGGAAACTTGCCTAAGTTTTGTCCTGCCTTGGGAATCGAACTCAGATCCTCTCTCTTGTGAGGCGAGGGTTCCAACCTCTGAGCTACAGGACTCCACAAGGTTCTGTACTTCGGGTGGGACATTAAAACCGGGTGGATGTTAAAGATCCACGACACTTACTCGAGAAGAGAAGGGAGTTTCTTTCGGTGTCATTACCCAACAGTCCTCCAGACAGATTGGTCCTGGCTGTTCGCGGGAGTTTGTTAAGTGCACAGCTTGACTCCACATTTGGCTACAAATCAGTCACTGCATTTGTCAGCGGCTTTACTGTGAAGTGCTCTGAGATGTGTCGGTGTGATAAACTGCCATAAAAATGAAAGACAATAATGATAATCCTTACATTTGATACAGCGCCTTATCACGTATTCGAGACGTCTCAAAGAGCTTCACAGGATATGCTGTAAAGTGGAGTGACTGTGCATTTTGTGGGCGAAACGCGGCAGGCAATAATGCACAGCGGCGTCCCACAAACAGTCGTGGATTGAATGGCAAATTGTTTTCGAGGGATTATTACCCCCAGAAAGCGATCCGCCAATCCCCTAACACCTGGGTTCCTACTTAGTGCTCGGTAAACAGAGGCATATGGTTCCTTTCATGTCGGCTAACACCTCAAAAGCACTTTGTTCACTGCAAAGTGTAGTGAACGTGCATTTAGTGTGCAATTTCCTTCTCAGCATTAATTGTGACTTCTCTGATCTGATAGGTGGCGGTGAAAGTCATCGACAAGAAAAAAGCCAGGAAAGACTCGTACGTAACGAAGAATCTGAGAAGGGAGGGTCAGATCCACCAAATGATCAAACATCCCAATATCACCCAGCTTTTGGACATATTAGAAACTGAGAATAGCTACTACCTGGTGATGGAGCTGTGCACGGGAGGCAACCTGATGCACAAAATGTACGACAGGAAGATACTGGAGGAGGCAGAGGCACGAAAGTACATCCGACAGCTGGCCCTAGCAGTGGAACATCTACACCAGGCAGGAGTGGTCCACAGGTAGGGCATACAGTGGGAGTGAGTGAGTGTGCGCATGTGAGTGTGTGTGTGTGTGTGTGTGTGCGTGTGCCAATGTTCAGCAGTCCCAGACCCCGTGTGAAGGGGTGCTGTACAATTGGATAGATACTTAAAAGGGAATAAAAATGCTGTGGAAGTCGCTGGGAACTCTCAGCAGGTCAGGTAGCATCAATGGAGAGAGGAAAGCGGGTTAACATTTCAGGTCGGTGACCTTTGTGACAAAGCGGTTATTACATTGCGTCATCCGTGTCAATGTGGAGTCCCATAGCTCAGCGGTTAGAGCACTCGCCTCGCAAGCGAGAGGACCTGGTTTCGATTCCCAGGCAAGGCGAGACTTTGAGTAAGTTTCCTCACTCCACACGCCTCTGTTTACCCAGCAGTAAAGTAGGAACCTGGTTGTTAGTCAATTGGCGGATCGCTTTTCCAGGGGTGATAATCCCTTCAAAAAATAGAAATATAATTAAATAAAATAATAATAATTTGGCCACTCAATCCCGACATGAAAGGAGTTATATGCCTTTGTTTACCCAGCATAAGCAGGAACCCAGTTGTTTGTCGATTGGCGGATCGCTTCCTGGGGGTAATAATCCCTTGAAAAAAAATTGGTCGCTCAATCCACGACTGTTTGTGGGGACGCTGCTGTGCGCAATTGTCTGCAGCGTTTCGCCCACAAATTATACAGTCAATTCATTTTACAGTTTATTCTGTGAAGCGCTTCGAGACGTCTCAATGACGCGACTGATCAGGCTATATCAAGTTCGGTGACGACTTATTTCCAAGCCGCTTTGTCACTAAAACGTTTCTCTGTTTCCCTGCAGGGACTTGAAGATCGAGAACCTTTTGCTGGATGAGCACAGCAATATAAAACTAATAGGTACGGACAGTCAGTCAGCGTGTGCTAGGGCGTTAACAGGGGAAATGTTTCCGCTCATGAGTAGATTGAGAGGATCCACCCTGAAATTAGAATGCAAAGATTGGAGATGCTCGACTGAAATTAGAACCTTGTCCTCCGAGGGGAAGTTGGCTGCTGGAAAGGAAACTTTGGGATGATTTGTTCTTAAATTTAGAAAAGAGTTGTGAGAGAGAGAGCGAGAGAGAACCTAAAATTACAGTAATATGTATCAATTTGATTTAGTACAATAATATACAATTTGGTGGAGTCCTGTCGCGTTATGGGTTAGAGCACTCGCCCCGCAAGCGAGAGGACCCGGGATCGATTCCCGGGCGGGGCGAAACCTTAGGCAAGTTTCCTTACTCCACACGCCTCTGTTTACCCAACAGTAAGTAGGAACCCGGTTGTTAGTTGATTGGAGGAACGCTTTCCGGGGGTAATAAACCTTTACAAAAAAAAATGAAATGAGAAACTGGACACTGAGTCCACGAGTATTTGTGGGACACTGCCGTGCGCAATGGGCTACAGTATTTCACCCACTAAGTAAATTGACTTTATAGTATAATCCGTGAAGCGCTTTGACGTAAATCAAATCCAAGGATCATTATTATATAATGCATATTATAATTATTGGTGCTCTAAGGCTGGGGCGTGATTGATACTCATTGATTTCTCTTTCAGATTTTGGACTGAGTAACTGTGCCGGTATTTTGGGTTACTCAGACCCTTTCAGCACTCAGTGTGGAAGTCCAGCTTACGCAGCCCCGGAACTGTTAGCCCGGAAGAAGTATGGTCCCAAGGTGGATATATGGTCGATGTAAGTGCTTCAACTATCGACTAAGCAGATTGGCAGCACTTGGCAAAATGCACACACGCGTTGATGCCTTAACATCGAGGCTTACTTAAGTCAATACTTACAAAGTTTTGCTGATTGGCAGAGGCTGAAGCACACTTGTGGAGTCCTGTCAGGTAGTGGTTAAGAGCACTCGCCTCGCAAGCGAGAGAGGACCTGGGTTCGATTCCCGGGCCGAGCGAAGCGATAAAGTAACAACAACTGGTATTTATACAACAACAACAAATTATAATTGTACAGCGCCTTTCACGTCAGGAGGACGTCCCAAAGCCCTGAACAGTCAGGGATCCGCACCTGAGCTGGTGGATGGGATCAGGAGAGCTGGAGGGCGGGGAGGGGCAGGAGGAAAACCTACATTTTTTTTATTTTCATTTTTAGGATTTTTAAAATTTTAATTAAAAAGTAAGTAGGTGAGAGGCCAAACGTTAAGCCGGTTTCCTTACTCCACAAGCCTCTGTTTACCTAGCAGTAAGTAGGAACCCAATTGTTAGTCGATTGGAGGGTCACATTTCCAGGGGGCAATAATCTCTTAAGTAATAATAATAATAATAATTTGGTCACTTAATCCACGACTGCTGTGCGCAATTGGCTGCCCACAAAATACACATTCAATTCACTTTACAGTGCATTCTGTGAGACGTCTCAACGACATGATAAGGCGCTGTATCAAATGCAAGGATTATTATTAAGAAGGGGTGAGGAAATGTGAGATTTACAGGTGAATAGACATGTTCTGTTGGACTGGCCGCTCTGCTAATGTCTTTCCCCTTTCGTTTGCAGAGGTGTCAATGCGTACGCAATGCTGACTGGGACCTTACCTTTCACCGTGGAGCCATTCAGCTTGAGAGCGTTGCATCAGAAAATGGTGGACAAGGACATGAATCCTCTTCCCATTCACCTCTCGTCAGGTAATAACACATCAAGGACTTTAACTAACAGCAGGTCCAAGCAGCTGTTTCATACTGGCGCTGAGGTGCCTGGCAACTCGGAGGTTTTAAAGGGCAAATAATAATAATAATAATCCTTGCATTTGATATAGCACCTTATCACAGACGTCTCAAAGCGCTTCACAGAATATACTGTAAAGTGATTCGACTGTATACTTTGTGGGCGAAACGCGACAGTCGATTGCGCACAGCAGCGTCCCACAAACGGTCGTGACCAACTTATTTCTTTTAAGGGATTATTACTTCCGGAAAAGCGATCGACTAACAACTGGGTTCCTGCTTTACTGCTAGGTCAACAGAAGCATGTGGATGGAGTAAGGAAACTCGCCTAAGGTTTCGCGCTGGCCGGGAATCAAAACCGGTCCACCCGCTTGCGAGGCGAGCGCTATAACCACTACGCTACAGGTCACCACATTAGTAAAACAGATTGTCAGTTGAATAACGTTTTACATTCGCGCCCGAGCCTTCAGCTCCCCTCTCGACTCTCTTCCCCCTCCTCGCTCCCTCCCTTCCCTCCCCTTACCCTGACCATTTCCCCCCTCCTCGCTCCCTCCCTTCCCTCCTCTCACCCTGACCATTTCCCCCCTCCTCGCTCCCTCCCTTCCCTCCCCTCACCCTGACCATTTCCCCCCTGCTCGGGTCATGACCCAACTGTGCAGCGCCTTGGGACGTCCTCCTGACGTGAAAGGCGCTTTATAAATGGAATCTTGTTGTTGTTGTTGTTGTTGGTCTCAATTTATTACCATCATTTTCAGTCTTCTTAAATGTGTCTTCCTGTGGGTTAGATATTCATTCCACTTGGGTCTTAGGTTTGCAATACTTTCTCAAAATTTTCAGAGCATCAAGAATTTGGCGATTTCTGAAGTTTGAAGCCGGTTTTATGTCATTTTTTTCTTTTCCTCAGCTTTGTGTCAGACACACGTGGAAACCCATCATCGTGGAACTCCCTTCCTCACTCCCTTTGCCTCGCCCCTTCTCTTCCTATTTTCTAGTCTCGGCTGAAGACCTTTCTTTTCGACCGCGCCTTTGGTCACCTTCCTCCCCCTCCCACTGGATCGGCCCCGGGATCCGTTACTGTGAAGCACTCTTGAGACGCCGTCCAGCGTGGAGGGCGCTGTATAAATCCAAGTTATCGTCGTTGTTGTTTAAGAGTATCCGTGGCTGAGGTCAGCTAACGCTGCACAGACCGGATTAAAATTGAATAATAGTAATTATCATTTGATATAGCGCCTTATCACCTCTTCTAGACGTCTCGCTCTGGGATGCTACTCTGCGTGAGGGGCGCTACAGTTGTTGTCTCAAAGGGCTTTAGCGATCTGCCAATCCACTAATTAGCGGGTTCCTACTTACGCTAGGTGAACAGAGGCAGATGGAGTGGGGAAAGGAACCTTGCCTCAGGTTTTGCCCTGCCTGGGAATCGAACCTGGGTCCACTCGCTTGCGAGGCGAGTGCTCCAACCACTAAGCTACAGGACTGCACAACTGCCTTTCTTCTGAAGTGTAACATTGCATCCAGTCTGGCTTTCCACACCAGGCCCATTCGAGAGCCGTGGAGCTCACCCCATCCTCAATAAACACATTTAACTGCCCACCTTAAATAGAGGCACCTATATGGATATTTTCAAATGGCGGTGTTATTTCTAACCAGGCGCCCTACCACATTAAGAAATACAACCTGCAGAAGCTGTGGTGCACTGAGGCAAATCATATGTATGTATGTGTGTGTGTGTGTATGTATATGTATGTCTGCCTCCATGCTCCCAACCTCCCTGCCACCCTCGTTCCCTCCCTCCCTGCCTCCCTCTGTCCCTCTCAGAAAGACACTGAAGCCAATTGAAAACACAGTTAGTGATCAGCTAACTCAGACCTGTGCTGTGTTCTATCTGCTGCTCAATGTATCATTGGGTGGTAGTGCAATCATAATTGGGATGAGTTCTATAGTATATTGGTTAGAGCAAGCGAAAGGACCCATGTTCTATTCTCGGGCAGGGCAAAACGTTAGGCAAGTTTCCTCACTCCACACGCCTTTGTTTCAGTAAGTAGGAACACGGTTGTTAGTTGATTGGCAGATTGCTTTTCCAGGGGAAATAATCCCTTTAAAAAAAAAGAAAAATAATAAATAAATAATAATCATTTGGTCATTCAATCCACAACTGTTTGTGAGTCGTTGCTGTGCGCAATTGGCTGCCGCGTTTCGCCCACAAAATACCCAGTCAATTCACTTTACCATATACTCTGTGAAGCGCTTTGAGACATCTCGAAGACGTGATAAGTATTTCCATATTATGGGGGGTGGTTGAGGGGTGGGTGGGTGTGTCGGGGAGCGGGATGGAACTGACTAGGTTTGTTTTCATAACTAAAGTTCAAATTGTAAGTTCCAGGCAGTAACACCATGTTTAGTCACAGAGAAAATGAAGGGGGGTTGAAACAGATGTCTGTTCAGTTTACGTTAATGGAAGCCAGACTGACTGCTGGATATGAAATGGGAGTGAGGGATTACTTTGGAATGAAGCTCTGTTGCAGAACAAGAGGAATCATTTAAAGGACCAAAACGGTGCGTGCGAGCTGTGCCTTTGTGCGAACCGTTGAAAGGTAGGAATTCGTCAACAACAGCAGTAACAGAAGGAGTCCTGTAGCTTATTGGTTAGAGCACTCGGCTCGCAAATGAGAAGGCCTGGGTTCCATTCCCGGGCAGGGCGAAACCTTAGACACGTTTCCTTACTCCACACGCCTGTTTACCCAGCAGTAAGTAGGAACCCGGTTGTTAGTCGATTGTCGGAAAAAAATTGGTCATTCAATCCACGACTGTTTGTGGGACACTGCTGTGCGCAATTGGCTGCTGCATTTTGCCCACAAAATATACAGTCAATTCACTTCACAGAATACTCTGAACAGCTTTATAGAATTCTCGAAGATGTGATAAGCTGCTGTATCAAATGCAAGGATTATTATTAAGGAGATGAGGGAGCGTGACACTGCAGTGGAGGGAGAGGGCTGCTTTGATCACACGTATGTTGCTTTCTCTCCAGTCGCTGTGAACTTCCTGAAGTCCCTTCTGGAGCCGGACCCCATCAAGAGGCCCAATGTGCACAAGGTTCTGGCTGACCGCTGGCTGAACCAAAACTACCCCGGAAAACCCGAGTGCCGGGTTGCCTACCCAAACAGGTAAGTCCATAGCAAACATGTAAACTTACGTCAACAGGGGTTACTCATACTGACAGGTAAATGGCAATAGGTGAACCCGTACTGACAGTTAAACCCCTGCCGACGACTCACCCAGTGCTGGACACAGTAAACCCGTGCCATATGTCTGAATGCGGGAGGTGTTGAGAAGATGGAGAAGGTTTTTAATCATCCAGTCCACTGGGTGACTTATCACTGCTTCGTTACCTTGCTAACGCTGAGACAGCTGGTTATCGACTCCCCTTTGTGTCCTCCTGTGTTGAGCGTCATAATAATAATAATAATCCTCACATTTGATACAGCGCCTTTTCGCGTCATTAGGACGTCTCAGAAGCGCTTCACGGAACATATTGTAACATAGATTGACTGTATTTTGTGGGCAGCCAGTTGCGCACAGCAGCGTCCCACAAACAGTCGTGGGTTGAGTGATCAAATTGTTTTGGGATTGGGAGGTGGGGGGAGGGTTAATTATCCCTGGAAAGCAATCCGCCAATTGACTTAACAACCCAGGTTCCTACGTACTGCAAGATAAATAGGAGTAAGGAAACTTGCCTAAGGTTTCGCCCTGCCCAGGAATGGAACCCATGTCCTCTCGCTTGCGAGGCGAGTGCTGTAACCACTGCACTAGAGGACTTCATCATCCCCCACACCGCAAGCCATAAGAGCAATCCAGTGATGCCTCACTCTCCAGTATCCCTTTCCTCCTGGTAGGGACCTGGGTACCAAATCATTGGCATCTCTGCAGACAGTGTGGCTGAGACGAGGAATTCCGCAAATATTAAGTTCACAGGCTCAAGCCAATGCCCCATGGCTATGAGGTACAATAAAACCGAGCGTTAACACTCCACCCACGGGTGGTGGAAGGGGCCGATATTTTACGAAGATTGGCAACGTTTCAGTTGGCAGCCACTGTGAGGTTGGAGTACAGTTTAATTGGCTCCAGATTCAGTCATAAACAGGGAGGAAAATCTGCAGCACGCAGCAAGTTAATGCAAAATGTTCAACCGCTCTGTCACGTTTGTAGCTTCCCTGTGCCTGAAATGTTAGACACATTTTCGTACTCCACGCGCCTCTATTCGCCTACGAGTAAGTAGGAACCCGGTTGTTAGTCGATTGGCGGATCACTTTCTGGGGATAATAATCCCTTCAAAATAATATAATAATTATTGCATTTTATACAACGGAGTTGAGGTACAGATCAGACCTGATCTAATGACGGAACAGTGTCGGAGGGGCTGAATGGCCTACTCCTGTTCCTATGTTACAGAGTTTGGTGCGAGTGAGGATGCAGATGGTGGAGTTTTGGCTGAGTTGGAGCTTATGAACGGTGGAGCTAGGGAGACCAGCAAGGAGTGCGATGGAAGCTTTAGAACAGCCGTCCCAGACAACATGGTAACAGGACTCGAGTCTTGGCCACATGTGGGCTCTGCAGAAAGTTAATAATTGATGAAAGCAAATTAAATGTTTGGCGCGAAAGAGTTGTTTGGAGTCTGTTGCAGCGGTTTCCTGAGCCAACCTCTTGAGTGCGGCATTATTTAATTAAAAGCCTAGTGGTTTTAATTGGCAACAGGCAGGTGGTGCGAAGAACGAGAGTTCAGCCTGAACTTTTTAAGTGGTTTGCAATTTGAGTTTGCCTACAAATCCACAGTCACTGCACTTGGCAGCAGTGTCCTGCCAAGCTCTTTGAGAGAGAAGTCTTGACGATGTAGACTTGGAGAGAGGTCTTGACAATCCTATTAACTGCAAGGATTATTATTACAATTTGCAGCCCGAGATCCAACAGCGTCGATGTTTTGGCTATAGATGTAGTGCATAAGAACATAAGAATTTGCTGGGCAAAAGAAGACCACGGTCCATCCAGTTCACCTTTCACCATCCTGGCAGTCGTTTGCACATTTCGTGTCCCAAACTGTACACTGTATCCCGAGATATTATTTCCTAACAGAAATCTATCCAGTTTGTGCTTGAAACAAACAACACTTTCTGCTTTCACCGTCTCTGAATTTAACTGACCCTACAACAATTAAAATTAAAATGGCAGCCAGTTCCATACGTTTGCTACTCACTGACTGTAGTGTCAAGCCTGGCTCAGTTGATAGCAATCTTACCTCTGAGTCAGAAGGATGTGGTTTCAAGCCCCCCATCCATTGAACTCACAAAGTCCAGGCTGACACTCCAATGCAGTGCTGGGAGGGGGCGTTGCATTGTTGGAGGTGCCATCCGCTAGTGAGAAATTAAACTGAGGTCTCGTCTGCTTGTTCAAGGGGACGTTAAAAACCCATGGCACTGCTCGAAAAGAGGAGAGAGCTTCTCTCTCCTGATGCCCTGGCCAGCCATCCCCCCGATAAAATTGGTCACTCAATTCATGGCTGTTTGTGGGACATTGCTGTGTGCAAATGGACTGCCGTGTTCAAAGGAGCAGGAACCCTGGCTGGTTTACCATTCTCTCGCTTCAGGAAGCCGAGTCCCATTAAATTGGCTCTATGGACTTCAGATTTGTTAGTGGAACAATCCCCTTAAGAAATGCCACACCATCGACCCTATAAACTTGCAGCTTTTGTTGGTACTTTTGTTTGTGCCCAGAGAGCAGTGACGGTCAAGTGCTTTGTGACGTCCTCCCGACGTGAAGGGTAAATTATATTATAGTGTACTGCTTTGATCTCTGCTGTAGAACTTGCTGCTCCAGGGTGACACGTGTTCAGTGGCCTCAGTTTGTTTGTTCTGAATCGACATTGGAGGGAGGGAGGATATCCAAATGTCACTGAATCCCGAGCTCCAACTGTCTAGCTGCAAGTTTCTCGGGACAGAAGGTGTGTGGGAGTCGAAGTCCCTTTTGGGAGGTGAATGTTTTCACTTTGCATTAAAATCAAAGAGGATTGAGGGCAGACCGCACCGTGGTCGAGAGATGAGCTGTCCACTGCACTGTGGCTGTGAGACAGAGAGAGAGGGAGAGAGAGAACGGAGGGCTGGAAAATCACTGTCCCTCGCAGCCAGTCTCGTGTATCTCCTGGGAACTGGCTCAATAATGGGAGTTGGCAGAGGAATGTGGGAGCAGATTGACTCTGATCCTTCAGCCAGGGAATAGCGCATAGTGTGAAGAAACCCAAGAAAACAAGGCAGACGTTTACAACGCAGACAATACAAAAGTATCGAGACTTTAACACTTCAAGGTCTCAATACTTCTCAATACTGAACGTCTGCCTGTTCAGGTGGACCTTAAAGATCCCGTGGCGCTATTCAAAAAGAGAAGGCGGTTTCTCTCTCCCGGTGTCCTGGCCGAAAATCCCCCCCCCGAAATAAAATCGGTCACTCAATCCGTGGCTGTTTGTGCGACACTGTTGTGGGCAACTGGCTGCCGCGTTTCGTCCACAAAATATATAGTCACTGCACTTTGCAGTATATCCTGTGAAGCGCTTTGAGACGTCTCAACGACGTGATAAGGCGCTTTATTAAATGCAAGGATTATTCTTATTATAACTTTGAATTTCAGGGAACTGCAAGTTAACTACAAGCTAAAGCCTCAGTCCATATAGTAAGCATATATCCCTCTCCTTATGGAATTCTCTCCCAAAATCCCATTGGCTCATCCCTTCCCTATCTGCCTCCCGTCCACGCACACCAACACCTTATAACCCCTTCCCAGCTCAGGGTCCCGCTCAGTCTTTGTAAAGTACTTTGAAACGGTCCACCAGTGTGAAAGGCTCTTTATAAGTGTAAAGTGGTTGGAGGACTTGCTTCGCAAGCGAGAGGACCTGGGTTTGATTCTCAGGCAGGGCAAATTGTTGGGCGAGTTTCCTTACTCTACACGCCTCTGTTTATCTAGAACTAAATAGGAACCCAGTTGTTAGTCGATTGGCAGATTGCTTTTCCAGGAGTAATAATCCCTTCAAAAAAAACGTATATACATATATAAAAAACAATTTGGTCACTCAATTCACCACTGTTTGTGGGACTCTGCTGTGCACAATTGGTTGCCAATTCACCCACAAAATATACAGTCAATTCACTTCACAGTATGATGTGATGCGCTTTGAGACGTCTCGAAGACGTGATAAAGTGCTATACCAAATGCATTATTATTGTTATAAATTGCTATGTTCTGTGAGTGAAAATTGGCCCGATAGAAAACTTTTATAACTGATTAGCTCTGAAAGGTTTCCTCTTCCCTTGTGACCTTCTGTAACGCTAATGTAAATCTCCTTACATAGGCTTCATCCGGATGACTTGAACCAAAGTGTGGTGCTTCACATGAGCGAGCGGCTGGGGTATAAATACAGCGAGGTGGTAAACACTGTGCTGTCCAACCGAGCCTCCCACACCCTCTCCGTTTACTTCCTGCTAGACAGGAAGCTGGATCGCTACATCAGAAGCTTTGCGGTAAGTACCATTGGGTCTCGGGGGAATGGGTGGAGCGGTGACTCTAGTCTGAGTCGCAGCAAGAAAATGCTCGGAAATGACTTGCGGTGACAGTAGGTCGCAAGGGACGTGGAGAGAAGAGATACCGTGCTCGGGCAACTTTTTCCACGTAAGACCTCAGCTTCAGTGGAGGAATGTTCGGAGTCCATCGGTATGAGATGATGGATTGAACAAAACCAATAACGCAAAATAAAAAGAACGAAGCTTTTTCATTTTCCACTGACGGGTGGGTCGGTCGGACCACAAGGATTTAAGATTTATCGGCAAAAGAACCAGAGGGGAGATCAGGATGGATTTCTTTACCCAGAGAGTTGTTACGGTCTAGAATGCACTGCCTGAAAAGTTGGCGGAAACAGATTAAGTAACAACTTTCAAAAGGGAATTCGATAGGTACATTTGCAAGGATATGGGGAAAGAGCGAGGGCGTGGGAACCGGTTGGGTAGCTCTTCAAAAGAGCCGGCACTGGCACGATGGGCCGAATGGCCTCCTTCTGTGCTGTAATATCCTATGATTTTATTTCTATAGCCCAGAGAATAAGAGAAAAGCAGCTTAGAAATTCAGTTGGACTCGTAACTTTTTTAAGAGATTTGGTGGATGAATAATATTCTCCTACTTTTTGGTCAATAATTTCAGCAGAAAAAGTAAAGTAAAATAAAAGCAGAGAGAATCAACAACATTTTGTGGTAAACTGTTTGCAGTGGTCAGGGTGATTGTGTGCACCTGCCGTGCAAAATAACTTAAATGCTCACGTGAATTCTTGTTCATCCCCTTTTTTTTTTGCAGATGCCAGACTTTACTGATGGTATTTGTTTCAAGAACCAACTGTGTCAGCTGGATAGATATAGACTGAAGGAAGCACGGGAGGTATGGCGTCCTCAATCTTATCATGGTGTCAGCATTTGTGTCCTTTTGTGGATCTGTAGCGCTTTGGTGAGAGCACTTGCCTCACAAGGGAGAGAATCTGGGTTTGATTCCCGGGCAGGGCGAAATATTAGACAAGTTTCCTTACTCCACGCGCATCTGTTTACTAAGCAGTAAGTAGGACCCCAGTTATTAGTCGATTGGCGGATCGCTTTTCCGGGAGTAATAATCCCGCCAAAAAAAATAAAACAATAATAATAATTTGATTCATTCAATCTACGACTGTTTGTGGACACTGCTGTGAGCAATTGGCTGCCGAGTTTCGCTCAAAGTGCTTTGAGACGTCTCAGCGACGTGATAAGGCGCTATATCAAGTGCAAGGATAATTATTACGTAATTATTACTATGAAGAAGGCCTTTCATCCCATCTGATCTCATCTTTCTAGAATACCATCCTCCAATCATTGCATCAACATGTTTCGTAATTGAGACCTCAGTGCCCTGACCTTAACCTGGCAGCCTGTCCCAGTCGTTATTTACCCTGTGTGTATCCTGGTATCTGTTCTGATACCTTTTGAATGAAACCATTGATTCAGCCTTATTCGTTTTTGACAATGAATTCCATGTCCTAAAAGCCCTTTGATTCAAGTCACTGCATAGACCGTTCAAAATTACAATTATTATTTTCGGATAATAATCCCCGCAATTTGACCTGTTTATTCCAAGTCTCTCTTCATAGCCATTAACCTGCTGTGATTAATTGGCTGCCGAGGTTCGTCCACAAGAATACACAGTCAATTCACTTTACAGTATATTCTGTGAAGCGCTTTGAGACGTCTTGAATACACGATGAGGCATTTTATTAAATGCAAGAATTATTATTATTCCATAGCAGCTAATAATAATAATAATCTTTATATTTCACATAGCACCTTTCACTTCGGTTGGACGTCTCAAAGAGCTTCAAAGACAGTAAAGCGCTTTATACTGCAAAGTGCAGCGACTGTATATTTTGTGGGCGAAACGTGGCAGCTGATTTGCACGTAGCAATGGCCCACCAACAGCCATGAAGTGAATGACTTCTGAGTGACCCAATTTTATTTGGCCAGGATGCGGGGCGAGAGAAATTCCCTTCTCCTTGACAATTGCAGACACCTGCCGGATAAAAACATCGGCAAACAGCTGTTTTCCTTTGCTTAATACTTTGGAGACACCCTTTCAAACAAAAAAAAAACCTCTTCGGTCACTGGCATTCACTTGAGGAGAGCCTATTTAAAATAATCCCTTTATAATATGCTTTACCAAAGCCTGTCAAAAGGCAGAAAGGCTGGCTTCTGTACTTAGCAAACAATCCGACCTCCTCTTTGTTATTCTCTCCAGATTTGAGACATCTGCTGTGCTGGTAAATCATGGCCACTGTCAGGTTACAGAACTTCTTGTTGACTTCTGCCAGGAGGAAACTGCCTTTCATTTGAGATGCTGAACAACCGGGCTTAGTCATGGTGCCCATCCAAGCTCCCGCTTGCCCACCACAGCTCCACAAACAGTCCCAGCTGCCGTTAGGCAGCTCGCTGACCCTGATCATGGCGGGTGGGGGGAGGAGAGGTTGTTTAAGGATCTGGATCGAGGACTCAATTGCTTTGCGGAAAGTTGCCATCCTGTGGAGTCCTGTAGCGTCTTGGTTAGAGCATTCGTCTTGCAAGCGAGAGGACCTGGGTTCGATTCCCGGCCAGGGCGAAACATTTTCCTTACTCCACACGCCTCTGTTTACCTAGCAGTAAGTAGGAACCCGGCTGTTAGTCGATTGGCGGATCACTTTTCCAGGGGTAATAAATCCTTCAACAAAAAACTAATAATAATAATTTGGTCTCTCCATCCTCGAGTGTTTGTGGGACACTGCTGTGCGCAATCAGCTGCCGTGTTTCACCCACAAAATATCAGTTTTACAGAGTATTCTGTGAAGTGCTTTGAGACGTGCGATGTGATAAGGCGTTATATCAAATGCAAGTATCATTATTATCCTGGAAGTGAACAGATATTTCTGGAATTCTTCTCACCCCAACAGCTGTGAATTAGTTTCGTAGCCAGATCCTAGAGAGAAGCCCATCTCCCCTTCCCCCCCACCACACACACACACACACACATACATACACATGCTCTTTGTGTTGAAGGACCAACCTTCTCACCAGCTGTTCGTCTGGATTTGGGATGTTTGAAAAGCTTTGAGCTCCTACCTAAATGGCATAGTGATATAGGAACAGGAGTAGGCCATTCAGCCCCTCAAGCCTGCCCCTCCATCCTATTAAATCACTATGGATGGTATAAAGTCCAATATAACCATCAAGGCATATAATTATATTTATTTCAAGTTTGGCCTGAGGGCGTGAAAACAAGCCAACAGGAAGCATTGGTTGTCATTATGAACACGACAACATAGGAACCAGGAGTAGGCCATCAGCCCCTACAGCTTGTTCCGTCATTCTATTAGATCACGGCTGATCTATACCTCTACTCCAATTACCCGTCTTTGCCCCATATCCCTTGATACTTTGACCTAGCAAACATCTATCCACCTCAGTCTTGAAAATTTGAACGGATCCAGCATCCATCCACAGACTTTTGAGAGAGAGTTCCAGATTTCCACTGCCCTTTGTGTGAAAAACTGCCTCCTGATTTCACTCCTAAATGGCCTGGCTCTAATTTTAAGATGATGCCCCCCTTGTTCTGGATTCTCCCCACCAGAGGAAATAGTTTCTCTGTAGCTACCCTAGCGAATCCCTTTATCATTTTAAACACCTCAATCAGATCACCCCTCAACCTTCTGAGCTCAAGGGAATACAGACCAAGTTTACAGACCCTATCCTTGTAATTTAACCTTTCAGCACATGCGTGGCATTGCCTTGTTTACACTATGGGTACTTGCTAAAGTTAGCAGGGCCCCTGTATCAAGCGAGAGGACCCGGGTTCGATTCCCATGCGGGGCGACACCCTTACTCTGTTTCCCTAGCAGTAAGTAGGAACCCAGTTGTTAGTCGATTGATGGATTGCTTTCCCGGGGTAATAATCCCTTCAAAACACACAAACAAATAAATAAGTAATAATGTGGTCACTCAATCCACATCTCTTTGTGGGAACGCCGCTGTGCGCAATTGGCTGCCGCAATTCCCCCACAAAATGCACCTATCAATTCACTTTACAGAATATTCTGTGAAGCGCTTTGAGACTTCTCGAAGACCTGATACAGCGCCATATCAGATGCAAGGATTATTATTACAAGTAAATCCCCTTCTTATCCTTGCATTTGATATAGCACCTTATCACCTTATCTGGAGTCCTGTAGCTCAGTGGTTAAGAGCACTCGCTTTGCAAGCGAGAGACCAGAGTTCAATTCCAGGCAGAGGGCGAAACCTTGGGCAAGTTTCCTTACTCCACACAGAGCCTAATAATAATCCCTCCAAAACAAAACAATAATAAATTGGTCATTTTCAATCTACGACTGTTTGTGGGACATTGCTGTGCGCAATTGGCTGCCGCGTTCGCCCACAAATATACAGTCAATTCACTTTACAGTGTGTTCTGTGAAGCGCTTTGGAACGTCCTCCCGACGTGAAAAGCGCTATATCAAATGCAAGGATTATTATTATCACGTCTTCGAGACGTCTCAAAGCGCTTCTCAGAATATTCTGCAAAGTGAATTGATGGTGTATTTTGTGGGCGAAACGCGAAATCATCTTCATTGCTCTGTTCCGCACTGGGTCTAGGTCAGGTGCTCTGCACTAACTCTACAGCCTTGTATCACTCTGACCAGCACTGTAAGTGTGGCCTGAATCCCAGCTTGAGATCACAAAGGCCTGTCAGAAGATTGTGGCGGTTGTCCCATTCTGCGCTCTTAAAAAGAGTTGGGGAGGGGGTGGGGAAGGAAACACTCTGGAGGTCAGGAATACAAGTGCGGTGTTTATCCGCGCAAAGTTTCATCGCAAAGTTCCACTTTATTTAATTTCAACTCCGCAGGAGAAGAAGGGCAAGGAGGCAGAGAGAAGAGGAGAGATCATTCACAAACCCTTCGCAAAGAAAAACGAAAAAGGCCTGGCCTCTGCCAAACAGTCTCCATACTTTGCAGCTCCTTTAAACCTCGCCAAGGCTGTACACAAGGAGAGAAAAGCTCCCAAGCCAGACAAGGGTATGACTGATAGCGATGCTTCATCGTTTACTCATGTTTTTAAGTTTTGACCGCTAACAGGCATGCCCAATAATAATTTGGTCACCCAATCCGCGGCTGTTTGTGGGTCTTTATCCGTGCAACGTTTCATTGCAAAGTTCCACTTTATTTAATTTGAACTCACAGGAAGGGAAGGCCCACAAATATAGAGTCAATTCACTTTACAGCGTATTCTGTGAAGCGCTTTGAGACGTCTCGAAGACATGATAAGGCTCTAGATCAAATGCAAGGATTATTATGTTATGATATTACAAGCAGATTAGCACTTGAGGCTTCCGCGCTATCTGATAGCAGTTGTATTCGTTGCATTGTTAGTGGCGTTTGTTCAAGAATGCATGCTGCAAACTAGAGCTGAGTCTTCCTGCATGTGTACTTTTGGCTTGGAGTCACCCTGGCTGAAGCAGTTGTTCCCTTGACCACGAGTTAAAAGGTTGTGAGTTCAACCAAGGCCAGACCAGTCACTGGAGGCCAGGAATCATCCCACTCAGCTCCTGTTAACCCTGCAAGCCAAAGCCCTAACAGGTAGGGTGGACCTAGCTGAAAAAGCAGTGGGAAAGCTTGCCAGACAGCAAGCCATGTGGTTTTAGCTGGTTAGACTCCAGCAGTTACTCCAACGCACACTCTGGGGTCCCGAAGCCTTGGCTCTTGCCAACCTGTGCCTAATACTTTTCCAGAATTAGGTAAGCAGGATTGCATCCCTCCAGGGAGAGAGAGAGAGCGCATTGCATTCCAACAATCTATCTTTGGGATTTCCACGTGCAGGTGGGATGCCTGGGATTCTCACTTTGGTTTGGATACTCTTAAGCACGGTGATGGGTTTCCGTAAGTGTCAGGCACCCGACTGCCCACTCAGGACAGCAAATTTACCCTCAACCATTCCACTGACAATACAAACTTGACATCCCTCGACCTCAGCGTGTACAATGAAGCTTCAAGGTTCGAGGGGGAGAGAGGAAGACTGAGGTCAAGGAGGAGAGCGAAACAGCTTTGTAAAATAAATAATCAATAAATCTCACTTTCTAAAATTGTAAAGCGCTGTAAACTGTAGCTTTAAAATGTGGGACTGGTATTGGCAACGTTGACTTTGCTGCTCGCCTTATTTACCGCTGAAATAATTGTTGTCCAAACGTCTTTAGAAAGTACCCCATTATTGGGAGATCTCGGGTTTAAAACCACTGATTAATCCGTTTTGCCTGACAAAACACACAGTCTGTCATCCACTTTACAGTATAATCTATGCAGAGCTTTGAGACGTCTCAACAATGTGCTAAGGAGCTACATCACATGTAAGAATTATTATTATTACTGTTCACGCTGAAGAAGAGATGGTTGGGGGTGCGATATGATTACGCTTTTAAGATTCTGGAAGGACCAGATAACGTCGACCGTAATAAGCTGTTTTATCTCGTACTGAACAGGGGCACGGGCTGCGATTGAAAGGGGGGTAAATTCAGAACAAATATGCGAGAAGAGTACTTCAGTGAGAGAGTAGCAAACGTACGGAACAGGCTCCCTGCAGGGAGACGGTCGAAGCAGAGAGTGTTGGTTCTTTCAAGAACAAATTAGATAGATTTCTTTTGAGAAATAATATCATGGGATTCCAGTATATAGTTTGGGGCATGACATGTGCAAGTGACTGCCAGGGTGGTGGATCTTCGCCAGCAAATTCTCATGTTGTTCTTATGATGATAATGACCCTTTGCCTGCAGGTCTGATGCTGGATACTTACCTGACTGTTCCGACCGTCTCTGCTGATGGAGCCAGCGTTGGGAAGAACGGGTGCGTCAACTCCCACTCCCTGGAGTACTTGGAGATGCAGCGTCCCCTGCCCAGGACCCCTATGCCCATCCGGCCGCCCCTGGACGTTGCGAGCCCAAAGGGGGGAGCGAAGGATCCGTGCCCGAGTGGCTCCCGGACCCCCGTCGCGGGAGACGAGCGGATAGGACCGGCTCCGCAGCACGGACACAACGGGCAGACCGGTGGCCCCTCGTACAGGTCCTTGCCTCCAGCGCTCCCTCACCCCAAGCCTCCGAGTTCAAGCCCGGCTAGGACTGTGCCGACCTGCAAAGAAAAGAGAGACTCCTCCGTGAGGTTGCACGCCCTGTCTGCCATTCCGCCCAGCTCAGGCCACGCTAATGCCAACGAACTGGGCAACCCCAGCCTGGTCAAAAGCAGGGGCAAGTTCCCAATGATGGGCATCGGACAGATGTTAAGGAAACGCAACCAAGCGGTGCAGTTGCGGCCAGACAAGCCGGCGGGTCCCAAGCTGTCCTGAGATACTTGCCGCGAACAATCTTGATGGGTGCCAGTGTTATTGCCCTGTAGCGTTTCCACGTCATTTCACTGTGCGAGGCTGGGAGGAGCAGCTGTTGGAAACAACATTGGAAAGGCAGTGCGTCAAGTGGGATTGCACCCATGAGAGTCCACGCCTACACGAATTGGATGGCATATAGAGACAATCCAGGTCGAGGGACTAATCCAGGCTGGTCCAAACTTATTGGCTGCTGAGGGTTGGATGCCCTATTTAAACGATCGTGGCCCGAGCATAAGCAAGTTTTTCGTGTTGGCCTCCAGAAACAGAACATAACGGTTATGGGGGGAGCTGGAGGTGGGGGTGGTGAGTGTGGGGGGAGGGGTGGGGGGCTGGGGGGGAGCGGAGGACAGATGGAATTGGCCCGTGGGCCACATGCGGCCCGTGGGCCGCCAGTTGGACCGCCCTGGATCAATAGTGTTAGAAGCGGCAGAGAGGGGCTAAGGAAGGCAGAGAGGAGAGATTGAGAGGGGACAGGGAGGCAGAGGGTCCCCTGATCGCTGATAGAAAGTAAATTAGAACATAAGAAATGCTAGACAAAGAAAGACCAAGGTCCATCTAGTTCACCTTCCACCTTCCTGGCGGTCGCACGCACATACGTCCCAAACCACCCATGTACTATATCCCATAACGTTATTTCCTAAAAGAAAACTATCTTAATCTGTGTTTGAAAGAATCAACACTTCCTGCTTCAACCTAAATTGGAGATGGACCAATATTTCTAGGTTTTGGAGGGAGGGATCCAAGGGAAGTTCTCTGCATTACTGCTGGCAGTCCGGAAAAAAAACTTTCCACCACCCACACCCACCGCCCCATTGTTGAGCCACAATCCTGAAGAGATTTAGATGCAATTTAGTTCCAAACACTAAGCTCAAAATAGTTACTCGCTCGATAAATTCTGTTAGTTTTTTTAAAAAAAAAACATATATTTCTCTCCGGAACTTGTAACGCAGAAGATCTTTATCTTTGACTCGCGTTTGTAGGTTTAAACTTGAATGAAGCCTGGCGCTCGCTAACTTGTCTCTCACTTTTATTTTCGGTCACGGAAGAAGGATTATCTTGGGGTCATCTATCGCCGTGCCGCCCAACAAGCTATCGGTTGAATTACTGAATGATTGTCCTGCGGAGGAGAGTCCCTGTGCGGTTGGGGTGGGGGGAGAGGGGGAACCATATTCATTTGGACTTTCAGGAAGCGAATGGGAAAACGCTGACCCACTTTGTGGGGGAAGGGGGAAACGGGGAGGGGAGCTCTTCTTGTTCGAGTGCACGCAGGGCCCTATGGAAATGCAAGGCTTTGTGTTGTTGTCCAGCCTCCTGCTTGTCCCCCGTGCCCTCTTTCCACCATCGGCGGCCCCGCTTTCAGCCACTATGCCCCCAAAATTCTGGAACACTCTCCCTCCATCCCTCCACCTTGCCCCCCTCCTTCCCCATCTTCAGGCCAACGGTCATTGTGCCCCGTCACTGTCGAGTGCTCTAAGACGCTAACCTGCATGAGGGGCCGCTGTGTAAATGCAAGTTGTTGTTGTTGTTTGGGCCACACTTTCATTCAAGGGATATCGGAATGACCTCTTCAATGAGCTGAAGTACCTTTGCATATCACACAGCCATTAATCAGTCGGTCAGTCTGGTTTTGTAGCTGAACAGGAGCCGAGTTGTGCATTTCAGTCATTTACACACACGTGGAGGTGGAGTTCTCTGACCGATGGGGAATGCTCAGCATTTCTCTCACGCGATTGCCATGTCTCTTTTAGTTAATAAGCGAATGATCAGAGTCCATGGAAAATCCTAAGGGACCATCCTTCCTTCAGCCTTCTGGTCAGAGAGAGAGAGAGACTAATATATAATACTTAACTGGAAAGATGAAATATAATCTAACGGATTGTTTACAAATATCATTTTTTTAATATAAAAACACACACTTGATTAAAACGCTTGTTGGATTTCAGTTTCTTTTCCTGAAGGCTTCGAGCAGTAAGTAAGGTATTAAAAACAAAAAAGTTCATGTGATGCTGCAGTATATTTGAGTGGAAGTTCAGATCTCTTGTATACAAAATATTGGTTAGAGAGCTCGCCTCACAAGCGAGAGGACCTGGGTTCGATTCCCGGCCAGGGCGAAATGTTCGGCAAGTTTCTTTGCTCCATACGCCTCTGTTTACCTAGCAGTAAGAAGGAACACGGTTGTTAGTTGATTGGTGGATCGCTTTACCCAGGGGTAATAATTCCTTCAAAATAAATAAATAAAAATAATAATTTGGTCGCTCAGTCCGTGACTGTTTGTGGGACACTGATGTGCATAATTGTCTGCCGCGTTTCACCCACAATATATGAACTTTACAGTCTATTCTGTGAAGCGCTTTGAGATGTCTCGAAGTCGTGATAAGGCGCTGTATAAAATGCAAGGATTGTGTTATATTTTGTTGGGTTCATTCATGCAGAGGAAAAAAACAAAACAAGTTTTGTGTGCAATAAGAGTACAAATCCTGCTTCTTAAGGTAAAGATTTCATAGGGAGTTTGCATCAAACTTGGAGCAATAGTGTCTCTGCCTCTGAACTAGCACCTATGAAAGTGAGAGGCCATCAATCCTTTAATCCTTGATATAGCACCTTATCACGTCATTAATATTTTTTAAAAATTTGGAAGGGATTATTACCCCCAGGAAGTGATCCTCCAATTGACTAACAACCGGGTTCCTATTTACTGCTGGTACACAGAGGCGTGTGGAGTAAAGAAACTTAACTAAGGTTTTACCCTGCCCAGGAATCGAACCCTGGTCCATTTGTTAGTGAGGCGAACGCTCTAACCACTATGTTTTTAGTGATTCAGTGAGTTCAGTAGTGCACATTTTACTATTTACTACAGCAGACTAAGGTTCTCACATGGGCAAGTTTCCTTACTCCACACAGAGCCTAATGATAATCCCTCCAAAACAAAACAATAATAAATTGGTCAGTTTCAATCTATGACTGTGGGACATTGCTGTGCGCAATTGGCTGCCGCATTCGCCCACAAATATACAGTCAATTCACTTTACAGTGTGTTCTGTGAAGCGCTTTGGGACGTCCTCCCAACGTGAAAAGCACTATATCAAATGCAAGGATTATTATTATATAGAGCAGGTCATGCAAATAGCAATGAGGTGAATGAAAACATTTTGTCTGGAAGATTTTTTTTTTTTTTTTTTGGTTTGCCGGGTGTCTGACGCACGTGGAGATGCAACACCATGCATAAGAGTATCCAAGCCCAACCTGATAATTCCATGCATAGGATCATAGGAACAGGAATAGGCCATTCAGCCTTCCCTTCGAGTCTGTTCCGCCACTCAATTAGATCATGGCTGATCTGTCCCTCAACTAATCCTGTCAATTCCAATTTCTCGCTTTTTCCCCATATCTTGCAGCTCAGTGGTTAGAGCACTCGCCTCGCAACCCAAGAGACCTGGGTTTGAATCCCGGCAGGGCGAAACCTTAGGCAAGTTTCGTTAATCCACGCGCCCATGTTTACCTAGCAGTAAGTAGGAATCCAGTTGCTAGTCGAGTCGATTAGCGGATCGCTTTTCCGGGGATGATAATAAAAAAATAATTTGGTCAGTCAATCCATGACTATTTGTGGGACACTGCTGTCTGCAATTGGCTGTCGCGTTTCGCCCACAAAATATACAGTCAATTCACTTTGCAGCATATTCTGGGAAGTGCTAGAAGACACGAAAAGCGCTATATCAAAGCAAGGATAATTATTATTATTATATCCCTTGATTTCCTGACCTACCAAAAATCTGTCAACCTCACTCTTGAAGGTGTGGATGAATTCAGCATCCACAGCCTTTTGGGGGAGAGAATTCCAGATTTCTACCACCCTTTGAGTGACAACATGCTTCCTGATTTCACTCTTAAATGGCCCGGTTCTCATTTTAAGACTATGCCCCCTTGTTTTGGATTCCCGCACCTATACGTGGAAATCCCAGAGAGAGATTCTTGGAATAGAATGCGCACTCTCTCCCTGGAGAGACGCATCCTGCTTGCCCAATTCCGGAAAGTGTTAGGCGCAGGTTGGCAAGAACCAAGGCTTGGGGACCCCAAAGAGTGCTTTTGGGATAACTTCTGGAGTCTAACCGTCTAAAACTTGAGGTTGATAGCACTCTTTGGCAAGCTTTTCCGCTGCTTGTCCAGCTAGGACCTCCCACCCGTTAGGGCTTTGGCTTGTGGGGTTAACAGCAGCTGAATGGGAGGATTCCCTGCACCCAGTGACTGGTCTGCCCTTCCGAGCCCTGCCCCAGTCTGGGAGACTGTTGGGTAGGTCACCGCAAGCAAAGTCCCTTTTCGTTTTCAATTGTCTGAGGTGAAAGAGCTCGCACAATTCAGAGACCGCCTGTGTGACTGGAGCTGACTGGAGAGAGGGTTAACAGGAAGCCAGCTGTGTGTTGACGGGCTTTCACTTGTTTTGACTGTGTCAGGCTGCTCGCTGACTGATGGCTGTAACAGCATGTGTTCAGCAGCCAGAGGATCAGAGCAATCTCACAGACCGTAGGCAGTACCCAACCCCTCAAGCATGGAATTACTCCGTAAGATTTCAGCTCGTCGGTCGGATTGTGGCAGCCAGATGTGCTGGGTTATTAATTTGACTCAATCCCCTAAATAGATTTATATAGTCTAAGCTAACATTCCAATGCAGCGCTGGGGGTGGGGAGGGAGATGCAATGTCGGAGGTGGCGTCCTTCGGATGAAACGTGAAACTGAGATCCCGTCTGCCGGTTCAGGTGGATGTTAAAGATCCTGCGGTGCTATTGGAAAAGAGAAGGGAGTTTCTACTGGTGTCCTGGCCAACAATTCTCCAAATAATATTGGTCACTCACTCCACGGCTGTCTGTGGAGACTGCTGTGCGCAAACTGGCTGCCACGTTTCGCCCACTCAAAATCCAATCAATCCACTTTACAGTATATCCTGTGAAGCACTTTTGAGACGTCTCAATGACGTAACAAGGTGCGATATCAAATGCAAGGATTATTATTATTATTCAGGCAAAGCGCAGCATTACCAAAAAATGAGCCAGTTGCATTCACCTATTTATTTTAGGGTTCAGCCTGGCTCAGTCGGTAGCTCTCTCACCTCTTGGGGTCAGAACTTTGTGGGTTCAAGCCCCATATTAGTACTTTGAACTCACAGTTGAGGTTGACCCTCTAGGTTGTGGGTTTGTAGGCAGACACGTCAGCCAATTTACATACAGCAATGTCCCACAAACAGCCAAGAGATGAATGATCAATTTCATCTGGAGGAATTGTTGGCCA